TAAGCCAAACTTATTGAGTAACCCTCTTATTATTTTACAATATTGCAATGATTTTACTTGCGCTAATGTCATAGATATAAGATTTCCAGTTTAGTTAATTTCAAGTCGTGCTCCCAGATGCAGCTTGAGTTCGGTTTGATTTGTGTGCTTCTCGCCACCGGAGCTGTGCGATCAGTCAGCTTGGAAGATGCCAAATGCGGTTACATAAGCGAGGAGGAGCTGCTAAGGCAGAACAATTTTGCGGTGCCCACGGAGCATCAGTGGCTGGCACGCATTATGTATAAAAATGGTAAGATATCGAGCAGGGGACACAAAAGGCACTAATTGACCGCATATCCAACAACCAGGACACGAGACCAAGCTGCCGAATGATGGATGTCTCGGTGTGCTCATATCCCCGCGTAATGTTCTGGCGCCCGCCCACTGTTTCCTGCTGTACGATGGGCGTGCCAATGCCTACTCTGTGCAGCTGGGCGTATGGAACAAGACCTCCAAGCCGCTCGAGCCCGACTGCGCTGAGGATGGCTACTGCGTAATGCCTGCCCAGGAAATACCGCTAGAAGGGATCGCTGTACACCCCGAGTACGACCCAGTGACGCTGAAGCATAGTCTGGCGGTGCTCACACTCAAGCGGGATGCGAGTCGGACAACAAATGTGATGCCCGTCTGCATGCCGCCCTCGTCGTCGTTGCATGAGACTCTGGTGGGACAGCTGTTCGTTGTAGCCGGCCTGCCCACCAGTTCTGAGCTCAAGCACAAGACCTGGGTGCATACCATCAGCAGACCCTATTGCCAGGAAAAGCATGGCGCACTCGTTACCAACACCCACACCGTCTGCGGCTACCAGGATCGCATGAAGATGTATTACGTGGGTGCACCACTGGTGGGCATACAGGTGAGCTCGGATGAGCCGCAATACTTTTACCTGGTTGGCCTGCTGCTCGACTCCAAAAAGGTGGACGATAAAGAGCTCATCGTAGCCAGCTATTTGGATGTGCGTCCCTATATTGGATTTATTAATCGCAATGCCGAATTTTAATTCTGAATTGTAATAAGCTAAGCCATGCAGAAAATAAAACAGGCAACAGTTGACAACTGGTCGGGCGTGTTAATTATTCAGTTACCACACTCTGCCTGGCCGTCCCAACCTAGAATTTATTTGGCTTCAAGCTCATGCAATATGCAAATTGTTTATATACTATTAATAGCTAATGTGAGAAATATGGAGATTGCAGCCGAAGTTTTTCGTTTTCCTTTGTGGGTTTTCCGAAAACTGAAACGCTAACTATGACGGCCACTTTGACAGTAGATGGCAGACAAGTGACAGGCGACAGCGCCAGCAGAAATGTTGTCATTTTGGGGGTAAACGGGAAGCGGAAATACTATGAACAATGGCTGAAACACGTTGGCCGTTGGCCACCTGCCAAAGCATGCAAAATTTGTTTTCACGTTAGATTTTAATGGCTATAAGACCAGGTGATAATTAAAGCCGAGCAGCAAATGCCTGGCGCATCAATGAACCTTCTCGGGCATTTGTATAGAAACCACTTATATCATATTGTATGCTAAGCCTGAAATTAGCAATGTCCACGTGACGTATGGCTTAACGTGCTTGTGCCTTGGAATTGTGTGCTTTTAATGCGTGTCCGGGCCGGACATAAATATTATTCTAGATTTGGGGCATGTAAAAATTGTATAAAAGAGTGAAATAATTCCTTTAAAAGGGCCTTAGCAGGAGAAAGAGGTTATGATATATTTTTTGTTATACCCTGTGCTCGTCGAAATCGAGTTAAAAAAAATGTATGGTTCGTTCGTGCCCGTTCACAGGCTTGTAAGACCGCGTCTCTCTCGGAAACTACAAATGCGAGGAACTTGACATTTAAAAAAAAAAAACGAGCGTGTCCTTTTATGTCGATATCTCGTCCCATTTCAAGTGTATCGATAAGAATCGACTTCGAGTCTTGGGATTTCGAGCATAAATCAGAATCAATAAGATAGATACATACATCGAAACTTGTGCTTAGACACTCTACAGTAAACACAGATTAGGATCATTTAAAAAAAAAACATTGAAAAGCAGCGCTGTATAAATGCATCTTTAAGTACCTGTATAAGAAGATATTCATATTGGGCTATAGTTTATGATTTGAAGATTTCAAAGCGTGGTGTCTTAAGCCAAAATATTAGGTTGACTGAGGGGTACAGGGGATTTCATAGTCGAGCATACTCCACTTACATGTTTTATGTTAAAGTTCCCCCGCTACTATTGAATCCTGTTTAGATATAAGCAAATTCACATTTACATACTAACCTCATCCTCAGTGAATCGACGACAATATTTGTTTTAAGTTTGACATCATCTTTGATTGCGGACATTTTGGATCCCATACAGTATATATATGATGTTTACTATCAGCAGCCGAAAAGATAAAACCCTGTCTGAAAGTTTCTGTGCCAACTAGTTTCTAAGTTTAAGATTTTTCTTGCAGAAACTAGAACTTGATGAACACGCAGCACACACCGTAAGAGCTAAGAAGCTGACATAATCAACGTTGTCTCATATGATGAAGGTGCTATAACCGTGTTTTTGAAAATTCAGCCGGACTCAAACTCATTTTCGAAAATCTGTGCATCAATTTAAGAGTTGCTTGGAAATGGAGCTCAAAGATTTGGTTCGTGACATTTCGGATTCAAACTCCTGTTCGAGGATCTTTTAGCAAATTCACTTGTGATTTAGTTCACCCTTTTTATAACATTTACCGCTCCTGGGTAGAAAATGGGTCAACGCTCTATGTGGGATTGTTTAATGTTTCTTCAAACTTATTTTCAATCCTTGTGAAAATTCATTTGAGATGTGACTCACAGTTTTCTGAAAATGCGGGTCATAGGTTGTATGAAAGATTATTTTTTTGCTTCAAGGCTCCAAGACTGCAAATCACAAAGGACAGAAACTCGAAGATCTTCAAACTCATGTTCCCATATCAAGGTTTCTTAATTGAGACGAGGACTTCTATATAGTGTGGGCAAATAACAATTTGTGACGGACTCTTGCCCGTATAATTGATGTCTATGAAAAACTGAAACCGGGCAAGACCGGGCAATACCTGTTAGTATTTAAATAATTTTAATCGGAAATAAAATGTAAGCTTGGAGCAAGGCAGCACAGCATAAGGTACTTGCTAAGACCCGATATCTCTCTCAATTAAGTGCATTAAGTGAGAAAATGTTTAAGCTGACTTAATTCTCCGACCATGTAGTTCCCATAGAAGTTGAGCGATTGTAATTTGATTAGCTGCTTGCTCTAAGCTGCTTTCAGTTTGCTTTGAGCTCTCAGGTAGACGAGAAATGGATGCGGCTAAGCATGTTGGAAATATGAAAATTATGGGAAAACTTGTTGTGGTGCTAGTTGGCACCTTGCTGATCGGTGAATGGCAGCTGTTATTTAAGTTCATAATATGCAATATGCTAATGTTTTGCATTTTTAGCCACTGCAAGCGCGGAGTTGGACTGCGGCAACCTCGAGGAGCGATTGCTCTTCAGCAAAGACAAGTCAACGCAGCCCGCCGAGTACCCCTGGATGGGAGTACTCTTCCGACGCAAAGGTAAGCTGGTTGGCGGGTAAGCCGTAGAGCACAACCTTTGATGGAGACTATTTCGATCGCGTATAGGTCAGTCATTTGAGAACGCCGGCTGCAATGTGGTCATCGTGGGTGAATCGCATGTCCTGACGACAGCATCGTGTGTGCGCGACCATTATGACCAGCCGGAGATGCTTGCCGTGCGGCTGGGCATTTGGAATGAGAGGGATCAGCCCGACGGGAAGTTAGCCTGCAATGAGAGGGGCTTCTGTGTGCCTGGGCCCGTGCAGCAACCGGTTGCGGCGATTACGATGCATCCACAGGCGGATAAGGTTACGGGCGACATTGATTTGGCCATTTTGCGGCTATCGAAGCGGATCAAAATGACTGCCCACGTGCAACCGCTGTGCTTGCAGCCAATTGCAGAGCCCGCCTCATGGATCAATCGGTATTTCCACTACGGCGGCTTTGAAAATAGTAACTACCGCAAAGGCAAAGGTCTCGCAATGGTCATATCGAAGACTCGCTGTAGTCGGCTGAGTGGAAAATCGAGCCCATCGGAAAATCAGTTTTGCGCGTTTCCTGTGGAGCGCACAGTCTTCTATAGAGGCGCTGCTCTGATGGGCATGAACATTGAGAAAGATGTGCCGCGCAGCTTCTATTTGGTGGGCTTACTGGTAAGGGTTGTGAGTGAGGGAGGGCCGACAATTTTGTTTATCCAAGACATAAAACCCTGGCGCCGCTGGATTATGGAGAATACCCGCTGAGCGAGCGCATATTATATCGATCGTCAATTTTATAATATATGTAAATCTATTTTATAATAATTTCCGTAAATATATTTCTTGCTTGACTAGACTTGACTTGCTTGACGATTATTATGATTGGGTCTTTCCACTATATAACTATGCACAGTATATAACTGGAATTCTAATGAATGTAATTGTGAAATAAATGGGTCGCGAGTAAAGTTTTGGGATATTATTATAGAATTGAAAAAGCGGAACTGGTAGAGCAATGTAAGCTCATCAGTAGACCTTCATCATAAAGTAATTATCGGTAGATAAATTGTTGAATTGGTTCAGTCATTCAAGTAACTGAACAAGGAATTTTAGACTTGACGAATGATGTAGGGATGCCAAAGGCCAGAGTGGAATGACATACAAAATTATTCTTACAAGAGTTTTTAAACTTTAAATATGAGAACAGCATTGAGAAGTTATTTTAATTAGAAGTACGTGCCTCAGATAAAAATACAGACTTGGATCACAACATTTGTACTTGATATAAATAAAAATTCATGTTTTTCTCTAAGTGTACTTTTCAAGAATACAAGCTTATCGCCAAACTTATCGAGCAACCCTCTTATTAGTTTACAATGTTACAATGATTTTACTTGCGCTAATGTCATAGATATAAGATTTCCAGTTTAGTTAATTTCAAGTCGTGCTCCCAGATGCAGCTTGAGTTCGGTTTGATTTGTGTGCTTCTCGCCACCGGAGCTGTGCGATCAGCCAGCTTGGAAGATGCCAAATGCGGTTACATAAGCGAGGAGGAGCTGCTAAGGCAGAATAATTTTGCGGTCCCCACGGAGCATCAGTGGCTGGCACGCATTATGTATAAAAATGGTAAGATATCAAGCAGAGGACACAAAAGGCACTAATTGACCGCATATCCAACAACCAGGACACGAGACAAAGCTGCCGAATGATGGATGTCTCGGTGTGCTCATATCCCTGCGTAATGTTCTGGCGCCCGCCCACTGTTTCCTGCTGTACGATGGGCGTGCCAATGCCTACTCTGTGCAGCTGGGCGTATGGAACAAGACCTCCAAGCCGCTCGAACCCGACTGCGCTGAGGATGGCTACTGCGTAATGCCTGCCCAGGAAATACCGCTAGAAGGGATCGCTGTACACCCCGAGTACGACCCAGTGACGCTGAAGCATAGTCTGGCGGTGCTCACACTCAAGCGGGATGCGAGTCGGACAACAAATGTGATGCCCGTCTGCATGCCGCCCTCGTCGTCGTTGCATGAGACTCTGGTGGGACAGCTGTTCGTTGTAGCCGGCCTGCCCACCAGTTCTGAGCTCAAGCACAAGACCTGGGTGCATACCATCAGCAGACCCTATTGCCAGGAGAAGCATGGCGCACTCGTTACCAACACCCACACTGTCTGCGGCTACCAGGATCGCATGAAGATGTATTACGTGGGTGCACCACTGGTGGGCATACAGGTGAGCTCGGATGAGCCGCAATACTTTTACCTGGTTGGCCTGCTGCTCGACTCCAAAAAGGTGGACGATAAAGAGCTCATCGTAGCCAGCTTTTTGGATTTGCGTCACTATATTGGATTTATCAATCGCAATGCCGAATTTTAATTCTGAATCGTAATAAACTGAGCCGTGCAACAGCTCATAACAGGTCGGCTGTATTAATTATTCAATTACCATGCACAGAATTTGTATATAACCATGTTTTTGTTATATTCATATGACTCCACTTGGAATTATTCATTAAAATGACCCCTTACTATGGAATCCGGATAAGATAGTATTCCAAATTTCAAGTGTTGTTTAACCTTAAGAGTTATATTCGTAAAGCTGTCATTTAAATTTGTTGGTAAAACGTTTAAGCGCGAAACGTCACCCACCAAATCTTTGACATCCATTTCTACCAAGTAGGATTGGATTTTTCGAAAAGTGTGAAACACCGCTCAAATTAATTTAAACAAAGATCTTTGAAAATGAGCTTGAGGCCGATCGGATGGTAAACAAAGAAGTTTCATACAAACGTTTTCGGGATTTTTTCACACTTGCGGGTGGAATTTCCCGAAACCCCGTCTTAACGTGCACCTTCATCACATAAGGTAAGTGCAGTGAAAATTGCAGCTTCCTAGCTTTTACGGCTTGGGCTGTGCGTTGACTACCAATCAGTCAGTCAATAAGTCAGTCAGTCAGTCAGGAAAAACAGTTTAATATATAGAGATATAGACTCCAAGTCGGAACACAAAATCATAATGTTTCGAAAGAAACAGCCGGAAGGTCAGTTCCTATATATAAAAATCGTTTAATATTTAGAAAAGGCGTATTTAAATTATGTTCAGAAACAAACATTATGTTCTTTTAAGTTAATGATTCTAGCCATCGTGCAGCTGATACACATAATGGGCCATAAAGCTTCCAGGCCAATGCGCACACAGCAAGAACAAGTACAACAACGACTATGCCATAATAACAGTCCTCGGCCGGAGAGCGCACATTTAGGCGCCAAATTGCTCTATGGAAAGCAGAGGATGCCAGCACGTTCTGTTCTTCGACTTTTCTTTTGTTTGTTTTCTTTGCGCTGCATTAAAATCACAATAAAATTTAAATTGCCAAACAAAAACAAACTAAAACGTGCACAAATGCATGAGCTGATGGGGCTGGCGTCTAGATAAGCAGCCAAAAAGGGGTGGCGACCAGAGGGACAATTCGTGGGTGGTTTTGGTTGTTTACGGGCAATATGCAAAAACGCGGTTCAAAACAAAACAGAAACCAAACAGCTGAACAGCAGAGAGACAGCGAGTGACTGAGAGAGCGAGAGACAGAGGGGGAGTGGGAGGGAAGAGGGAGTGTGCAAGAGAGTAAGGTTGTGCTTTCGGGGCACGCGTGGGTGCTGAGTGCGAGCTTACAGCAACAACAATGGTCGAGGACAACACGCGGCGTATACGCAATGTGACAGCTTTAATGGTTATGGTCAAGCGCAACGCTTGAGCGAGGGCACGCGCCCACAGCGCCAACGAAAGCGAAAGCGAAATGTGACGCTACAAATTGTTACTCTCAGACACACCTGGACTAGACTCGGGCGCAACCACAGCAACGGACAATGGCTGAATGGGCGGGTAACGAGGCAACCGCAAATCGCGCACTTCAAAAATTTCGCCATGAAACGCCCGCAAAGATGTTTCAATTTCATCTACGTAGACAGTTGGTCTGCGTGGGCGGTTGCGCCTGGTTTGTCCTTGTTAGAGGTGTAGGTGTATCCTTCTTTTTGCTGACCGTGTACTGGGGGCGGACAGCGAGTGGGCTGACAGCCGGTCGACCCAGCTTACTTACTCGGCTACTCAGTTGGGGCATCTTTGTGTGTGGTGGCATGTGGCATGTGGGCTGGTTGGGGCTAATTCATATTTTGTTATGTACGTCAACATGGCACCTGCGTTGGTGTACTTTTCTGGCTAAAAGGCTGAGAGTTATTTATAATGCTCAGCTGCCAGCTGAGTTTTTTGCTTTTGTTATGAGTGCGCATCGATGCGTTAAATGGTTTTATATAATTTACTTAAGCACTTAATGGCATTGTGGCATGGTGTGTGGCATGCCACATACTTTACGCAATTCTTGACGTTCTTTTTTCCGCTCTCTTGCACGATTCCTTACATAAAAAAAAGGGAACGACTCGCTGCTGGCGGAGCCCCTTTCCTTAATTCAATTACATATATGAAGCAAATTTTTGTTGTTCCATATAATTTGGAGCAACTCAAAACTGAGCACCGAACGGATACACAAAAGGCACACGCACATAGATACACACAAGCACAGACGCGCGCACACACACACACGACCTACACACAAACTTATGCTGGCGCAAAAGTCGTGGGCTGTTTAGTCGAAAGCAACTGCCACTTAAACTTGCCTTTTTCACTAGTTTTCCTAGGCTTAGGAAAAACTCTTATAGCTTGCTTGTAGCTGCTGGCGTTTTTCCAGCTTTCTTTATAGCGCGCGTCGCAGCCACTTGGTACTCGGGTCGTTTCTGGCCAGGAGTCTCAACGTCAACTGAAACGATTCCTGAGCGGGCCTTCATGTTGCCTCGATAGCGGCCAAAGCTCGATTTTGCTTTCCCAAAAGCACTCTCTCACACCCACCAAAAGCTTTCTCTCTTGCGCTCTCCCTCTCTTTTGGCCAGTTGTTGACACTTGTTAGAGATTTTCTTGCGCGTTGCATTCTGTTTGTTTTGGCTGTGGCTAGGAAGTTGTTTTGAAGCCCCGTGTTTCGGGCTGGGAACGCTACAGTTCCGTCGCCGTATACTATCCGAAGGACTCAATAAATTTTTTGGTAATGACAACTGTTTACACCCTGTTCACAAACGGAGAAAAGTACATTGGTTTTGAGCAATGCCCGTCTGACCCAAAAATGTGATTCTTTGGCCACCCCCACTAAGGTGCTCGACAAGGCGCGCATATTTATCAGACCGAATTTAAGAGCTTTGTTGACATCCACATAATGCCAGCTACTCCAGCTGTTAACAGAGTATTGCCAGTAGGTTTTATTCGACAGCAACCTTCTTTCAGATTGGGGAGAACATGGTGGATATGGAAATGTTGACTCAGTTAAATCAGTTTAAAATGATGTCTTAACACTCCCTTATATGCTCGTCGGGTATCATAAATAAAAAACACGCCTTATCGACATAAAAATCAAAATGTTTTGGAAGACTCTTTGATCTAAACAGGTTTAAGAATTTGGCAAAGATGATCGTTACGTTAAACAAATGGTATGAGTGTATGATGGGTAAATTAACATATGAATGAATCTGGTGATTGGGAGCTGCCAATGGACAGCTGCTCCCAAGCGAAGACTTTCAACAGTTTCAGAACGGGGTTAGTTGGGCCCAGACACAACATACGTATTAATATGGTTGTTTTGACATGGCTATTGTCAAATTGATGCAAAAACTTTCACTGACCCATCAGTCAGCCAAATTACCATTCAAATCAGCCAATATCTAAGTATGGCAAAGAAAAGTTAAGTGGGAATTGTGTTGACAATTTAAGTTCAAACTGAATTCGGTATCAGTTGGTTTTAACCCAGCGAAGAACACGGCTGTGTCTTCAGATTTTATTTACAGACAAATATATTCAATGCATTGGCAACTGTGGGCAGCATTCCTGCTGCTGGCTTGGCAAGGTGCTCCGAGCCAGATCCAAGCAGCCAGGACAAATAACCTAAATGTGCGGCAGCATTGGAAGACACAGACGCAGAAAAATTCTGGGTAAGCAAATTATCTTTGTAATTGAAGTTGAAGAAACGCAATTGGTCGAGAAAAACGGACCAATGCTCGTAAATGTGTTTATTATATATATTTAAATTTGTATATTTTTATGTCTACAATCAAATAATACGCCATTTTTCCTTGCATTTTAGCAGCAATCATATTATTTATCCCAGATACGAGTTTATCCAGAGCAGGTCCCCCAGTGCCGAGCTCAAGCGTAATCGCAACTTACCAGGTCAAGCGAAGGCAGCGCCCTCGTCCACTACGGAGCGACCTTTTCTGCGTGTCTGGAACAGCTTTTTGCGCAGCGTGCAGCCGAATTTCGGCCTGCATAATTTGACCAATCCGTTGGTCAACTTGTTCAACAATGGTAACACCAACATCATTGAAACGCTGCCCGTGCAAGCTGTGTACACTGATGAACTTGACGAGGAGCTGCAGCAGCAACAGTCATCGACATCTGGAACGCAGAGTGCCAACAAACGCAAGCGTAAGCGACGAAAGCAACAAAAGCGTAGACCGATCTATGACTCACAGGAGCAGGATGATCCCTATAACTACTACGGCGCCCCATTACCCGTGTCGCTGCCACCGCACCAACCAATGTTCTACTATGGTCCGAGCGACTACTACGGCATGCGTCGCTTGCAACACTATAATGACTATGCCCCTCAGCCAAACTACTATGATCAATACTTTGAAGATAATTTACTGGTAGAAGATGACGCACAGGATGCAGCTGAGGAGAACCTGGGTAAACTTAATGCAAATAAGTATACCGTGCTGCGACCAATCAGCTTGGCCATTAAATTGCCGAGCGACGAATTATCAGTAGGAACAACACTTGACGAATCAATCGACCACAATTCAGCAAATGAAAACGAAGATGAAACTTACGGAATTAATACTGAAGGCGGCGTCGGTTCTGCAGCAACCGATGCAACGAACGACGATCATGAGCTCTCTGAGAGCATGCGCAATGCACTTGGCACATATATGCGAGACGATCACCGCAATCGTCAGCGCCAGCGTCAATCCGACACACATAAAAAAATGGGAGCGCCAGCTAAAGTAAAACCACGCAAGCACCAGCGTTACTTACTTGCTGCACGCCTGGTTAAGAATCATCAATAAACTATGTGTTATTATGAAAATGATGTATATTTTGATGGTGTTTGTTATTCTGACTGTGGTGTGTGTTGATGTGAAATGAAGTTGACATCTGCAAAAGGGGGAAAACAACAGTTAATTTAGTTAGATTTTCTATAATTGCACTAGTTGTATTAACATTGAGGTAGACATATAAACTTACTATACAATCACAGAAAACGTGATAATTATAATGTGGAGCGTAAAGTAGGCGTCAAACGAGCTGCGTAAGCCGTGACGCGTTGCCAGCATTGGGGTCCACAGGCA